TGCAGCATTCTTTTTATCGGTTTCGATTCTTTTCGTTTGGCAGCGGACTTCTGCTTTATTTGTGCCACGCGTATTATCCATCTTCACTTTCTTGCCTTGTTTGTCTTAATGCCTAAAGTATTTTCCATTGTGAATATAAGAAGGATATCCACGTCAAAAGGATTTGTAAATGTTTTCTACGAGCTAGAATTTTTATGGATCATTTTGGCATTATTTTAACAAGGTAAATGATATTAAAGATCAAAATGTTTGGGATAGTAAGCAATATGAATAAATATACCAGTATTAGCAATTTCTTTAAGGTCATCTACTATATCGATGGTAATAAGAAAATTGGTTGCTGTGATGAGGAATCGGCGGACTTTTTTGTTGATGGCCTTTGAGATGCTTGAGAGGAAGAATCGAAGGCTGTCTGAACTCATCTTGTATTAGCTATGGAAGATGCAAACCTTAAGAAGTGTGTAGCTACTCAACAGTTGTTGGGCCTGTACACAATAATAGTACAGTAGGGTAACTAATGTATGAATAATAATAATACTGTAATGTTATCTTGTTGGAATATGGTAACCTGGCCACAATAAGAAAATGCTCACTATAGTTAACTTTGAAGATCATATGATTAGAATCAGTTCGAGCTTTCACTAATGCAAATGATCTTGGCGTGAGTTAAGGAGAAGTTTCACGTCAACAGCTGCTGGAATGTCGGTTAATCGATCCCTGAGATATTGGCTAGTAGCAAATAAAAGATCTTGAGCTCGTTTTGTAAGTTGTTTTTCATCGTGTAACTTTTTGTTTGTTCTATACTGATGTCTCATGCCAATGAATAAAAAATGATTGAGTGATGGAATGGATTTCCACTTCTTCGTCCAAGGATATTTTGTTAGCATAGATCAAAATGAATGTGTACGTAAAGTAAAACTTTACGTGCATATTTATTGGGATTTATCTTGTCTGTGGGAGAGCAACACAATTGTTGAATGTTGTTTTTGTATTATTGTACTATTTTGCGTGATTGCTATATAGTAATGAAAGAAGCTAAGTGGGGATAATGTCAATTCTAATTTTCCAATTGAATGTTTTTCAATGAAAAATTTGAAAAAGAAAAAAGACCGAAGCATTTGGGAGGAAAAATAAAAGAAATTAAAATGCAAAAATGTAAACGAAAAGGAAAGGCATCTGAAAGCTTCAGAAAGGTTGAAAAAATTGGGAGTTTGCTTTTTATGCGCAATTAGTCGTACACTTTTTTACCTAATGTTATGTATTTTTTCCAAGTAGTCAGTAATTCTGATAATATTTTGGTTATAATTATTTTGATGTTTATTTATTCGTCTTTTTAAAATTTCAGCAAGTACTATCGTTTTTAGATTTAGGCTTCAAAAAAAGTCAAATGGAAGTTTGTTGAGGGAAAAAATGATTATATTTTAGCAATAAAACAGGCGACTTTTACATAATCTCGTCAACCACGGAATAATCAGCTTATGAATGTACGTGAATGCAACCAGTATAAAACGAGAAGAGTTTTCAGTATTAACCTATCCTCAAATTTGAAACACTGTCTTTCTCACTTCATTTTTTATCATTTATGCAAAGGATTTGAATATTTTAGTTCATTACTTTACGACTGATATGTAGGGAAATTCTGTTTTTACAATTTGAATCTGAATTTTCAGAACGCTGAAGTCTCAATTATGCGGCTGCAATGGATTATCTTGTTTTGTTGCTCATGTTTTGGAATTTTGAACACTCAGATGGTTAGATATTTACTCGGCATAATTTTAAATAAAAAGTGAATGCATATTTTGTATCCAGAAACTTGAATATTATTATAACAGTCAATAAACTGCCTAGATGTTAATTATGATACTTTTGGAATATCCCATTAATAAAAGGTAACAATAATTAGTTTTAATTTGTAGCCACCACCAATACCACCTCGTTCATCATCATTGGCTAGATTCGGTTCACGAGGTTATGGAAGCCGTATACCTTCTATAACAAAGGAAACAATAGAAATGAGAGAAAAGAGTCTACATCGTTCAGTGACAACTTCACCAATTACGACGCAAATGCCAAAAGTAATAGAAGTGCCTAAAATTTTTACAAAAACGGTGGAGCAAAAAGCAGCATCAGAAGTTCCAGAGACAAAGGCGGCGATGATAAAAATACCAGAAATAGGAGCTGTTTCAGCGAAGAAAGCAGATTACTTGGACGATAAATTGGAAGAGGCATACAAAGAATTCGAAGATAGTTTGAAATTGTTTGAACCAACGCCACGTGAACGCCTCACGCATTTAAGAGAAGTTAAATTGAACAAATTCACAAACATTGGAGCATTGAGCGAAAAGGCAGATTACGACGGACTTAGAAATCAGTCCGAATTAGTAATTATAGAAGACTTGAAAGAGAAAATGTTACCGAACTCTAGCCATTCAAAT